CTCAGTGCAGGGGAACTAATACAGAAACCTTAAAGTGACAGAGGTCAATATGAGAAGGGGATCACGAGCCAGTGTAAAGATCAGTTAGAGATGAATCAACTTGGAACGTAACTTAACATTTGTACATGGAAGCAATGCTAGGAATTTCTCTGTATAGCTATCCTTATCTCAACTAGCAAAAACGCGTCGTCTTTCTTATTATTGCTTATACGTTCTCTTCAACAAATTAGAGATAAGGGCAGAACAGATTCTGCCTGGAAGCTGGAGGGGGCGGGGAGAGAGAGAGGGAGGGGGCGGAGGGTATGAGGGAGAAATGGCCCAAACAATGTATGCACATATGAATAAATGAATTTTTAAAAAGAGGTGGGGCCTAATGAGAGGAAGTTAGGTCACTGGGGGTGTGCCCTTCAAGGGGATGTTGGGACCCCAACCTCTTCCTCTTCCTCATCATCTCTCTTTCACTTCCTGGCCACCATGAGGTGAGCACCTTTGCTCCACCACTCTCTCCTTACCACTTCACCAAAGGCTCAAAAGCAACAAGGCCAATCAATCATGGACTGGAACCATGTGCCAAAATAAAGTTTTTCTCTCTATAAGTTGACTTGTCTCAGGTATTTGTTATGGTATCGGAAAGCTAATACACCATGCAACTTGCTAGTCCAATAGAATGTGAATTGTAGTCAAGAGAAGTGATTTCTGTCACTTGTGAGTTAAGAAGCTTGAGGCTCCTGTTCTCTCTCTCTCTGAAATTCTGCCACTGTCATGTGAATAAGCCCAGGCTAGATTGCTAGGTTATAACTAACTAGAAGTCCAGTTGTCTCCTTACCCTAACCAACAGCCAGCTGACCATCAGACATGAATGAGGCCACTCTAAGATCAGCTGGGCCTGACCACCCAGTGATCAGTACCTTTACTGTTTTAAACTATTGAATTCAGGGACGGTTTGTTATCCAGCATCATTCATGGTAATAGATGACTGATACAGAGGGGCAAAGAAGATCAAACAAGACCTTTTGTCTTTCAAGGGCTTAAGATGATATGCTAGTCATTTTCCTGTCAATATGATAAAATGCCTGAGAAAAATCAACTTATGAGGAAAGACTTGTTTTGGTTCAGTCTCAGAGGTGTCAATCCATGGTCTCTGGACCCTGTACCATTGGGCTTGGTGAGGCAGAGCATCATGGCAGGCAGCACATGTGGAGCAAAGCTGTTCTCGTGGTGGCCAGGAAACAGAGGGGAAGGAGAAAGAGAATAGGCCAGCTCCTAACATCCCTTTTAGGGGCACCGCCCACTAATGATCTACTCCTTCCAACTAGGCCCTTCAGGCATGATGAGTTGTTGGGGAACATTTAAGAGCCAAACCATAATGAATCATGACTCCTGAGTCTGCTGGAGTGGAGGTGGCATCATTTCATGGTAGAGGGAGCTGATGTTTGAACCTGCCTTGATCAGAAGCTTTGGGTAGCTGTGACCTGGAGAGTGGCTGTGTGTGTGGGCGGGGAGAGGGGTGAAGGAGATACTAACAGAGAAGGCCTTGCAATGGCCAGAGAGAGGACCCAGCATGGCCATGAGTCTCCAGGCCTGGCCCTCAGGTCAGCTGTTTGCAGATGCCAGCACCCTCTACCTGCTGACCCCACTTCTCCAGACACCTGTAAAGCTCAAGGCTGTGTGTGTCAAGCTGTGGTCTCCAGCCACCTCTGGGCCTCCAGGAAAGTTTATGAGAATATAGAATCCTGGGCCTGACTTCAGAACTGCTGAGTTGAAATCTCTAGAGGAGGGGTTCAAGAACCTGTATTTAAGGTGCTCCATACTGCCCTCAGGGGTCCCTGGACACAGAACAGGAAAGATGACCTGCCATTGCCAGCAGGTGGATGGGGTTTGGAACACTTGAATTTTGGGACAAGCAGAAGAGGTATAGCTCAGGATGGTCAGTGATTTATCTCATCCTTACCCACTTCATGGAAGAGGACCCTGAGCCTTAGAGAGAAAGTCAGGATCCCAGTAGGCCAGACTTTAAGTTGGTGCTTTTTTTTTTGGGGGGGTGGGACTGGGGTTTGAACTCAGAGCTTTGTGCTTGCAAAGCAGCTGCTCACAAAGCAGACACCCTACCACTTCAACCACACCTCCAGTCCATTTTGCTCTGGTTTTTTTCTAGAGATGAGAGTCTCATGAACTATTGCCTGGGCCAGCCTCGAACCGTAATCCTTCCCATCTCAGCTTCCCAAATAGCTAGGATTACAGGCATGACCCACTGGTGTCTGACTAAGTTGGAGCTTTTTTCTTGTGCCTAAGAAGAGCCCATGCCATACAATAACTTGCCTTTTGTTCTTAGGTCTAAGATCATTTTCAGTCTTAAGCCCCAAGTTCACTTTAGGCCAGCTGACTCCTTGCTGAAGCAGTGACATGATGGGCACATGCCCGAGTGGAATGAAGGCACAGAATAGTAAGTGACCAGCCCTCCATCACACAAGGGATTCCAGGAGGAATCGGTGAAAGAGCAGAGCATAGCGCTCACTCTCTTTAAGCAATGGAAGTACATTCAGTGACTCTTCTGTGGCCAAGCTAAATGTTGTTTTCAAGTCTGGAGTATTGTTTGTATTTAAAATAAATTTGATAAGTAAGCCACAAAATGTTCCCAGCACACTTAGATATTTAAATTACAGGCTTCTAATCTAATGGAGAAAAATCACAAATATGGGCATAAATGACGCTTTTTGTTTGCTAACTGCCTTTCACAGCAGTTAAATGGGTCTTTCAGCGTAATGGCCAATTCCAAAGCTGCTGGGAATGGGGGTGGGGGGACGGGGGGAGGAGAGGGGGCTGGCAATGAGACTTCAGGAAGTGAATTCCCATGGTGAAAAATTGTGGTTCTTTCAAGAAAATGGTTTATTTATGATTTTAATTCAACTCAACAAGCCAGTTTTTGAAAATGCATACAAGCCTAGGGTGTAGTTCACTGGTAGAGTGTATTGAGGCCCTAGGCCCAGTCCCTAGCACAAAACAAACTGGCCAAAAGGGTGTTCTTTTTAGCTCTTCATGCTTGCTGTCAGCAAACAGAATTGCATTCTGCATCCTTGTGAAAGAGTGCTTCTGGAATCTCCTTTAGCTCTTGCTGTGGGGCTTGTCTGGGCAACCTGGGGTCCAGGGCCCATCCTACCATGGTTTTTTTCTAGTAACTGCCCATCCACTATCAAATAAAAGAAGAATTCAGCATTAGTAAAGAGAAATTTTATCTGAAAAGGGTGTTGCAAAGAGGAAAGGTACAAGAACTTCGTAGGGAGAATAACCACTGCAACTCAGAGAACCTGTTGCCCGTAGGTTGGCAAGCACGCTGAGGGTTAGGAAAGACAGTTTTTCTTTTATAGCGAGGAGAAACTGTGCCAGAAAGACCAAGAATGGGGTGAAAGGGTGGTAAGCTGGGATAGCAGGTCGGAGGAATTACACGCTGAGGTCTATTCTCAGGCGCAGGCTGAGAGTGGGTCAAAATTCGGGGACTGGAAGGTAGGTGTCCTCCAAAGGAGGACAATGACCTATAATGATGAGGCTGTGCCCCGGAGCAGGAGCAATCAATCATCTCCTGGGAACTAGATCGTTCCCCTCAAGTGATGACAGTGATAACAGCTTCTCCAGAATCCCTCTGGGAACTCAGACTCAAATAGTGGTCAACCAGAACACACCTGTGCCTGGAACTGTTTGTGCATACCTCTGTCCCCAATTCTTTTGTCTACTTAAACTTATAGTTCATGTCTGTACCCCTAAGATGGCTGAAGATGGGCTGAGTGTGTTCTCTGCCTTCACCATGCTTCTTTTTTTGGCATTTAGGAGCAGGTGGCTGGACCTGACACATGGAATCTCAGGAGTTTGGGTCTTGGGTCCAAAACTCAAGTTTCACATCTAGCCTTGTCACAAGTCTTATCTAAGTCCTACGGGAAATGGTGTGTTTGTGGTAAGCTGTTTCCTGGAACACAAAAAGTAAGAGAACTTTTATCTTCACTGTGTACAGGGGCACAGTACGCGGGGAAAACTCAACATGTCACCACTGGGTGGAGGTAACAAGCAGGCAGACTCGAACTGTGACAGCCAGGCTCAACCACTAGCATCTTAGTGAGCCTGGAGAACTATGGGGGTGGGGGGGGGGGAGCGACAGCGTTGGGACGGGGGTCTGAATTCAGAGCTTTGCACTGACTCTCCCAAAGCAGGTGCTCTGCCTCCAGTCCCTGGCACCAGTTTTCATCGAGGAAGGGGCTTGGAGCAAGAAGTCTTTCCCTATGACCAGCCCATGAGGCTGAAGTCGGTTGAGGTCTGGAGGCTGGGATGGACCTACAGATTTACAAAGCACAAAGTATTATTGGGTCCACCTGATCCCTAGGATATAGTTTACAGATCTGGGTCTTTGTTTTTGTAAAGATTTATTGTTTAAGGTACTGATGTTAACCTACCTTAAGGTGAGTGACCCAAAAACATGTGACCTTGGTGAGGTATTTTGATCCTAATATGTAAGTCTTTCTCTGAGGCCTTGAAGAATTTAAGTTCCCTTAGCATATCCCCATCACTCCTGGTTAACTGCTAACAACTCTACTTCACTCAGCCGTAGTAAACATCTTTGTAGCTGTAGGGGTTAGGTGGAATGGTGGGAGTGAAACCGCCCAGCACAACATTTTCCTAGGAGACAAAAGCCTAGAGTGAAAAACTCAATCCCCGCAGGCGCCACCCCCTGCCTTTTAAATGGGAGGGGCGGGACCTCGGCATCGATTGCTCGGCACTTCCGCAGCCACTCCGTCGTGATCAAACGAACTGTGAGTGATCGATGCTCTCGTGCAACGATCTCCTGGAAGGGGACATTCGGAATCAGCCGTCGTCTGTCGCAGGCCGACTGGACACGGTGCAAACACAAGAGAGGTTAGTTTGAGCAACTCGAAAGTGCGGATAGCAGCTCCGGCTACTTAGAAATGCAGTAATAGAGCCGTGGGGAAGGACTACGCAGGCGTCCTGGTAAGGAACGACCTTGCGCGTGCGCCTAGGAGACCCAGAGCCGCTGAGCCAGACGCATGCGCAGTAGCTTGATGCGCGCTAGCTCTTGCGCTGTGTGTAGAGCGTCCTGAGGTCGTCATCTTGCGCATGCGTACGATCAGCCCTGCGGTCCGGCTGCAGTGCGCCTGCGCCGTTCTCGGTATCTCATTGGTGGTACTCCAGTGCGCCTGCGCAACCTGTTGAGGCTGTTTGTAGTGGCAGGCTGTCGCTCTGTTGTCACGCGGCGTTTTTTGCCGGCCTAGAGGTAGACCCACTAGAAACATGTGCGCCAGCGGATGTGAGCCGCGAGTAGTGAAGTTCTAGAAACTCTGGGGAGGTAGCGTGGGGTACGCAGAGCCCGTGGGCCGCTCCTGGGGAGCCGCCTGGAGGAGGGGCCCAGTGAAGGGAAATCACCGTGCTCAGAAGTGGCAGATGTCATTCTCAAGGGCAGAAGGTGGCAGGCGACTGTCCACGCCCAAGACGTGCGCGTGGCCTTGAAGAGCCAGTGGCCCCTGTCCGTACCCACCTCCCTCCAGAGCTTCCCGTGGCGCCTGTTTGGGGACACTGCCCCGGACGCTGACAGCGGGCTCCCAAGGAAATCGATGGAGGCCCAGGGTCCCGGGTACCGTCCTGGGAGGCGCTTACGTGTCCCAGGTGGCCGACCCTTGGGGTCCGTGGCTGGGTCTCCCGAGGCCCGGAAGCCTGCTGGAGACTTGTCTGGGACGAGTTTAGGAGTTGAGTTTTCACAATAACTTAGGAGGTTGCCTTGGGCCTACAAATCTACATTACCACCAACAGTAGCTGCTTGGGCTGTGTTGTAACAGCAAGCCAGTTTCCACAGTGAGCTCTGGATGGCGAATGTAGGAAGTCAGGATCTGAGTTCAGTAGCCTGTGACTCCTCTGTGTCTAATGCAACCAACAAGAACTCTAAGGCTCATCTTGGGCTGTTTTATAAAGCCAAGACAGCCACTCAGGTAAGGTCATACAGCCTTTTACCCCATTCCCAAAAAGGGTCATTTTGTACCCAACGAACAGTCTTCTCTTTAAGGAGCTTTTAGAGTTGAATGAAGTGCATGAGAAGTTTTATGCAACCTGTACCTGGCCTTTCCCTGAAAGCTGTCCCCTGTCATGCAGCATCTGAAGGCCAGTTTGCAAAGCCAGGACACGAGAGCACTCAGGCTGTTTCTATGCCTGACAGTCCTTACTCCTATCAAAAAGGAAAAAAAAAATGCCCTCTATAACCACCGTGATCTTTTTAAGCCCAGTACCTGTCCAGTCTGGGAAACCAACTTTGTAAATTGAGTAAACAGGGCCATTTGGGCTTTTTCATAACGACTGTACTTGGGTGACTAAAGGTTCATTTTGCCTGGAGTAATCTCAGTTTCCTGTTTGTCCAGGCAATTATGTTAGTAGCATCCTGGTTTAGATAATAAATTTAAATATAGTTAGCCCACCCTATACCTACCACTAGATGGCTGTTTATACAACTCATAATCAACCCTTTTAGTGCAGCTCTGGGAGGCCAGTTTTAAGGCCAGTCTATAGTACCACTCTGAAAGGCTTACACATCTTACACTTGACTCCCTTTTACAACCCTTTGTAAAAGACAATTCAAAGAGGAATTTGGTAAGGAGATCAATAAGCCAAATGGACAGACTTACTCAGAAAGGCTGTGGCAGACCTGACAGATGGCTTTCTTGGGGCATATACAATGCAGTGTCTGAAGTTCAGTGCAGTGAGAGGTGTTTTACTTGCCCAGTAATGTGGGACTCTGTAAGTATTTCACCAGTAAGAAAAGTATGAGGCTGAAGATAGAAGCAGCAGCCCTTTCCTGTGTTGGATCCTGAACCCCATCAGAAGAGCCTGCTCTATCAGGTCAATAGGAAAGACATGGCCACCAAATATTCAAAATAGAACCCGTATCCTTTAATTGATAAAATGTTCAGCACAAGCAGTAAAATAACTTGAAGCTGAAGATAGAGGTCTGATGGGTCTCAACCTGTTAGAAAGGAAAAACTGTGGCCCAAAATCTAGGTTTTGACTCCAAATGTTATTTTTATTATAAAAGAAAATTTCTCTTTGGTAAATTTCCTTTTTTTGGGGGTGGGGGGTGGTCTGTGTTCTTAACAGCATTACAAAAAAATAATTCACATTCTGTAAAATTAACAATTTAGGCCAGGTGAGATGACTCACCTGTAATCTCAGGTACTCAGGAGATAGAGATTGGGAGAATTGCAGTTTGAGGCCAGCAAGCTGTGTATGGTGGTACACACCTGTGGTCCTGGCTACTTGGGAGGCAGATAGGAGGCTCACAGTGCAGGCTGGCCTGGTCAAAACGCAAGACCCTGCCGAAAAAGAACTAAAGCAAAAAGGGCCAGGGGTGTGGCTCAAGTGGTAGAGCACCTGCCTAGCAAGTGGAGCTCTGGAGTTTGAACCCCAGTACCACCAAAAAAAAAAAAAAAGTTTCAAATGCACAATTCAGTGATTTTTAGTATATTCACAGAGTTGTGCAACTATTATCACTATCTAGTTTTAAAACAGTTTTTTACTCCTGTACCTATTAGCAGTCATTCCAGTTCTTCCTGTCCCCAGCTAAAATCTCTGTCTCTGTGGATTTTTGTATTTGGACATTTTATGTAAATGGAATCATATGGTATGTGGTCTTTTGTGACCAGCGTCTTTCACTTAGCATGTTGTTTTCAAGGTTCATTTTTTAGAATGGACCATACTTCCCTTTCATGGCCAAGCAATAGTCCACTGTGTGCAGTGTTTTCTTCACTCATTTATCATAGTGGACACTTGAGCTTTTTCTACTTTTTTGGCTATTGTAGGTAACTGTACTATGAGCACTCACAAACTTTTGCATGAACATGTTTTCATTTATTTCATAAATAAATCAAGTAAGCAAGATCACAAGGCTACTCAGCCTGGTTCTTCCTCAGAAAAAGTGCTTGATAAAACTAGTGAGAAATCTTTTTTTAATCAAATCAAGAGGTAGGGGGAACCCTGGAGGGTTGATTTGTGAAGCCTGGACATGAGGCCATTCAGAAAAGCAATTTCAGCTGGCGGAGTGGATCAAGTGGTAGAGCGCCTGCCTAGCAAGCATGAGGCTCTTGCTAGGCCAAGTACTCTCAGTACTATCAAAAACAGAAAAAGACAGAAAAGCAGTTTCACAGAGCCTGTGCCTGACCTTCCCCAGAAGGCCAGTTCAAGTGGTTGGATGTGTGCAGGCAGCTGCTTCACCCCACAGGAGACCAGTTCCTCTGGGAGATTGCTCTACAGAGCCCACTGCAAGTGTTTCCCTTGGTCATTCTAAGGTTCTTTGTCCTCTAAGGCGATGACATGTGTTATAGCTGTTAGTTCGTGGCTGACGGACCTACACACGGCTGCTTCTGGAAGAGTAGATGGATCTGGGTGCTTTTCAATAAAGAAACCATGAAGGTTGATTTGCAAAACTAAGGCAAAATCTGGCTTCATCTGGCCTCAGACAAGCCCCCGTCAGGAATAGTTTCTGTAAAAGTTACAAGGCCACTTTGGATGGAAGACTGTTGCATGTTTTAGGACATGGCTCTTCTTCCCAGGGCCCTTTGCTGTGGCAGCTTTTCAGAAAGCAAAGTCACCAGAGGCTGTGGAAACAGGTGTGATACTGCCAAGGCCAGCGACCACTTCACAGAAAGTTTCTTCATGCTGCCAGCCAAAGGCCCTGTAGGAGGCTCATATTTAAGATTAGTTACCAGGCCTGTTGAGGCCATTTCAAGTAGCTGCAGAAGCCATCTGGAATCCATTTTGGAAAACAAGCTCCTACACCTTGCCTGGAGCTCACCTCTGGTGGACTGCATTCAGTGCCAGCTATATTAGGACTCATGAAGAACTCCACAAACTAAAAAGCTGTTTCATTTGGCCAAGAGGAAACCTGTACAGCCAACATGAATTCCTGTTTCCCAGAATGCTGTGTCATATCCTCTGTGACATTAGGTCCTCTCCAAGGCCCTCTTAAGCCAGGTGATAAAACACCTGAGGCCACCTTGAGAGGGTGGCTTTGTAAGGTCTATATGACCCTATGAGGGGCTGTTTTGTAAGGCCACCCTACGACACCAACATACAGAGTCTGTAGTCTGTGCCAGTGAACTAGTTTATAGCCCTCTGGGAGACCAATTTTATAATGCTGCTAAGAGACATAACTGATGTCTAAGACCTCAGCAGAAGCCATTTTTATGGTAAGATGAGTAGTCTTCTGGGAGCCCTTTTTATAGGCTGTTGAGAAGCCAGGGCATGACTCAAGATGAGACTTAATGTCACTTTAAGACTCATGGAAGACACTCAAGAGATGAGTTGGAGGCCACCCAGGAAGACACTTCAACAAGTCCCACATACTGTCTTGTTCAGGCTAGTGGATAAGAGCATACTAGAAGGCTAGACTGCAAGTCCCAAGAAGGCTTTGAGGCCAAAACAGACATTCAGGAACTTTCTTGTTTCTAGGAAATAGAAACCATCCTGGCAGGTTGGAGCCAGGCCACTAGAGTTCACTGAGTGCCTTCACCCAACTGGGCAAACTGGGAAGGTCTCCACTGTGAGCTAAGGACTAAGCGAGGCCCCTGAGTACTAGGTGCGAAAAGCTGATGCAACTCAACAGTGAAGCCCAAGAGCATTCTGGGTAGACACTGTTGCTTGCTGTGTAGTTTCGAGAAATTGCTTAACCAGAGTGCACTGCTCACCTGTACAGCCTCATGTCATGGGATTGTGAGGGATGTACTACACAGTGCCCCAGAAAGAAGCGTGCAGCACTGACGAGGCACGTGGGACAGGGCACCAAGATGGACACGAATTTAAACCCCATTTCTTCTCAGCTTTAGTGTTTTCATCAGCAAATTAGGAGGGTGGGAAATGAACACAGTTCTGTCCACCTCACAGTGTTTGAGGTCAAGATTAGAGGAAAAGAGTCGTCGGGAAACCCTGACAGGCTGAAGTACTGAGAAGCCCTCTTAAATTATTGCTGTGACTTTAGAACAGACCCAGGAAGAGGGACTGCAAAATAGTAACAGTGAGGAAGACATGTCCTTACTCAAGGCGAAGGGATAGGATTTCTGGGCCCGTAGGTTGGGAGGAATAATTCCTTCTTCACAGAGTTCTCCTAAGACCTGACCAGCTTCCTGTTTCCGTCCATGCTGCCTCGTGATTATGTCCCTCGTCCATAATAAGATCAAGGCCCGTCTCTGCCCAGCCACACAGCCTCACTTCTCTGCCTTAGCTTCCTTGTCTGTGAAAGGGTAATGATACTTTCTTAGAGTTTCTGTAGGAATTAAGAGATAACTAAAGTGTTCAGAGCATGCCTGGATTATGGTAAATGCTTTGGAGTGTGTTACCAACTTTGTGGGGTCACCATGGGGTTAAATGAGGTAATGATGTAAGACTTTAGTACTCTAAGTTGGGGATGGGGGGCAATGAGCAAAAACAGAGCCCAGAGATAGGGCTGGGGCCACAGAACCCCCCCTTGCAGACCGTGTCTCTAGAATGCTTCATATGCACTCGCTTTTCTTCCCGTACACGTTAGCATTAGAGGAGCCAGACTTTCTCCTCTTTTTTTGTGGTGACCAACTGGCTCTTAGTGTGTGATAGCTTGAGGTTGTTTCTGAAAAGTTCCTGTGTTGAAAACTTGGGTCCCCACTATAGCCATTTTGAGAGGTGATTGGCTCACAAGGGGTCTGCATTCATGGATAGAGTCATCCACTGATATCCATGGATTAATGGGATGCACAGGGAATAGGTTATTTGTCACCAAAGTGGATCTGTTACAGAAATCATTCCGGCAGTCTCTCCTGGGCCCCTTCTCATGTGACGCCCTATGTCTGCACCTGCAAAAAGGCCCTTGCCAGATACCAGTACCACGCTCTTGGACTTCCCAGCCTCCAGAATCATGAGCTAAATAAACCTTGGTCTTTATAAATTACCCAGACTGTCGTACTCAGTTATGTAATGGAAAATGAACTAAGACACAGGGCATGCAGGAAATCTGGGTGGGGTGTTAATTAGATTGGCTGCTGCCTAATAAATCATAGATAAAGTGACTTAAATCAACACTATCCCCTCTTTCCTTGGGTCACCAGTGTGAGTGTGGCTTCACTGGTTCTCTTCAATGTCTCTTATAAGGCCATGGTCATGTCAAGGGTAAGCTGTCATCCAAAGGCTCAGCTGGACAGAGACCTACTGCCAGGTTCTGTTGGCAGAACTCATTTCCTGGGCACTTTTGGACACGGGGCCTCAGCTGCTTTCTCGCTGTTAGCTCAAGACCTCTTTCAGTTCATTGCCATGTGGCTGTGTGTGTCATTGATGTCCACAGCCCAGAATGGGCAGTGCTGTCTGCTAACCACTTTACCTATGGTCTCTGATATCCTGCCGCCTTTGCTCTATTCTGCTGATTAGAAACTAATCACAGCCAGGCACTGGTGGCTCACGCCTGTAATCCTAGTTGCTTAGGAGGCAGAGATCAAGAGGATCATGGTTCGAAGCCAGCCCTGGGCAGATAGTTCTCGAGATCCTATCTCGAAAATACTCAACACAAAAAAAAGGGATGGTGGAGTGGCTTAAGGGATAAGCCCTGAATTCATACCCCAGTACAGCCAAGAAAAATTTTTTTAAATGAGTCATATTTCTTTTCCACTGCTCTGTAACAAGTTACCATAAGCATGGTGACTGTAAACAAAAGATTTATCCTCTAGGTTAGAAGGCTGTCGGGGTCCCACCCAGCTAAAATCAAGGTCTCATCAGGGTTACTTTCCTTTCTGGAGGCCCTAGGGAAGACCCATTTCTGATTTTTCCCAGCTTCTAAAAGGTGATCTCATTCCTCTCAATGCAATCTCATGTCCTCTGGCTCTTCTGCAATCACAAGTCCTTCCAACTCTGCCATTAGCTGGGAACCATTCTTTCAATGGCCCACCTATTGGGTTGGACCCTTTCAGATAATCCAGAATAATTTCCCTGTCTCAGGGTCCTTATTCTCAGTCACACGTGCAGGGTCCCTTTTTCCATGCAAGGTAACATATTCATGGCTGATGGCAGGGTGCAGACATCTGGAGGGTGCCATTATTAGGAATAATAAAAACAGGGAGAAGTTGCTGGATTAGCCAGGACAGACTAACTGTTGTAACAAAACATGTTTGTCGTCAAACAGAACTTTTTACTCTTGAGCCATCCAGCCTGGACACTCCTGGTGGGATGGCCTTCCCTGGCTTTTCTTCACCAACTAGCTGTTTCCTGTCTTCTGTGGCTCTGTTACCTTTTGAGGCCTCAAAATCCACTTCAGGCCAGTGGGAGGTGTCATGGGCCAGGCCTGGGAGTGACATGCTTTGCTGCTTTCACATTATGTAGCACTTGGCATGGTCACAAAGAACTGCAAGTGAGCCTGGGAAACAGGCTAGCTGTGCATCCAGACCAAAATAAAGGAGTTTGTCTTTTCTTTGGCCATGCTGGGAATCAAACTCGGGGCCTTGCAGGATAAGGGATTTTGGTGAGCATAGAGCAGAAGTTGGCAGACTACATGTGGCCCACCATTCTGTTTTTATAAATAAAGCTTTATTGGAATACAGTCGTGCCCATTTGTTTATACAGTACATGGCTACCCTTGTACTGCAATGGCAGAGTGCAAGCAACAGTGATTGCAGGGCCTGCAAAGCCCCTAGCATAAAAAGCATTCTCGGTAGGAAGCATGGTGGTGCCTAACACTCAAATGTGCGTCAGATGAGATAAGGGATGTGTCTTGCCCCATCTTGTGTTGCTGTAACAAGATTCTTGACACTGGGAAACATAAAGAAAAGAGGTTTATTTGGCTCATAGTTGCAGTGCATGAAAAGTTCAAACAGCACAGTGCCAGCGTTTGGCAAGGGCTCTTTGACGACATTACAACATGGTGGAGAAGTGGGAGGGGCAGCAGGCACGGGCAAGGAGGCCAACCTACTCTGTGGTAACTAGCCCACTCCTGCAATACAGGCATTAATCACTGCCCAGAGTGGGGCCCACAATGACCTAATCACTCCTCAGGCCCCACCTCTTAAAGGTCCCACCACTTTTTAATGCTACCACATTGAGGATCAAACCGACAGCACATGGAATCTTTCAGGGAAAAAACCAAATCCAAATCATGGCAGATGGACCATGGTAACACACCACTGGGCTGAGGCCACAAGAGCACCAACCATGAGGGCTTTCCTTCCTGTTTAGGTTTTAGGTCTTTCCAGGCCTCTTCTGTGTGAGTCAGCGTTCCATTACTGTGATAAATACCTGAGATAAATCAAATTAAAAAGAAGATTTACTTTGGTTCTTAGCTTGAGATTTCAGTCTTGTTTTTTGGGCCTGCGGCAGCACAGTACTTCCTAGCAGTAGGTGCGGCAGAAGAGGCCTGTTCACTTCAGGGTGACCAGGAGTCGGGGCTGGGATCCCAAGTCACCTTCAAGAGCGTGTCTCAGTGACGTCACTTTCCCATCAGGCCTCACCTCTAAAAGGTTCCACCACCTCCCAATAGTGCCACGGGCAGTAACAAGCCTTTAACATATGGCCTTTGGGGAGCACATCCTAACCACAGCACTTCCTGAGAAGGTGATACCATTCCTTCAGCACCTCTACTGAGTGCCTGCTATGAGCCAGACTCTTACTTTAAAGAGTAAGAGTCTTCCCTCTAGGGAAACAGGTGCTCTTTCCTGGAGGACCTTACAGTCTGACATTAGAGAACAGACACAGACAGGAATTGTAGTTGTCCATTGTGACAAAGAAAACACTCTTGGAGAGTCTTAGCAGGGTCCATAGAAGGCATCATTCAAGATTGGCTTGGGAGGTTGAGTAGGAGTTTGTCAAGCAGGAGGGGTATTAGAGGCATTCCAGACAGGAAAGCACACGTTCCTCTCTGAACATAATCAGTGCTCACTGAGTGTGTCAGGCATTGTGCCAGGCCCTGAAAATACCGTGGGGACCATAGACCGGCGGCTCTGCCCTCGCAGAGCTTACCACTAGCAAGGGAGAACGCATTGGGCAGCGACTGGATGAACTGTGGGTTTGGACGTGGTCTCTAACTCTTGTCCCCTCAGGTGCTGATCTGATGCAGTTGGAGTGGGCCACATGGCAGAGGACACAGAGAGTCTTGGGGATCCTCTGGCAGGCACTGATGCCCTCTGGGAGGCCCTCAGGGCCCTCCTGCCCCCCACCAAGGAGGAGCTGAACCTAGACCTGGGTGAGAAGGTGGACAGGAGCGTGGTGACGCTGCTGCGGCAGGCCACAGGGCTCTTCTATGCAGGCCAGCTGGGGGAGTGCCTGCAGGCCAGCGAGGTCATCCTGGACTACACCTGGGAGAAGCTCAACACAGGACCGTGGCAAGACGTGGATAAGGACTGGCGACGGGTCTACACCTTTGGCTGCCTCCTGAAAGCCCTTTGTCTGTGCCAGGCACCACGGGAGGCTACTGCTGTGGCTGCAGCCCTACGTGTGTGTGACATGGGTCTGCTGATGGGGGCAGCCATCCTCGGGAACATCCTTATCAAAGTAGTGGCAATCCTCCAGGCACACCTGCCATCTGGGAAGCAGCCTGCCAGCAGCCCTGGCAAGGAGCAGCCCAGAACAAAGGTACAGAGACCAGTCACTCACTGCCTGCACTTAACCATCCAACGGCCCTAATTTCTGGAAGTATCCAATTGTCTTGGTGAAAGCAAAACTTTTTTCCAGTCTGTGCAAAGGTGGTGCTCTTTAAGAGGCTGGGGTAGTTACAGTTCCTAAGAGAAGCATCTGAAGGGTGGGGTGGAGAGAGCCTGGCCTGCTGTAGCCTGCTCCTTCCTTGGGCAGCTGGCGGAAGGAAGGACCACCCCTTTGCCTACTGCCTCAGCTCTGTGCTGGGGAAGTTGGGTCCTGCCCTCTGATCCCTGGTATTTAAGGGCATGTGTCCATGAGTTCTCTCCAGGCCTGGAGCACAGCCTACTCCAAAGGCAGCAGCGTCCAGCATGGACACGAAGACTTCACAACACCTTCTCCAGGCAAGCCACGTACCCACCTCCTTGGAGTCTTGGTTCCATCATCTGTAAATTGGCCAGTAGAGTCCTGGGTCCCAGAAAGAAAAGACTAAGGCTGTGCCAACACTGGGAGTGGAATCATGGGTTGTTTCTGATGATTCTCCATGCTTTCCTGTGTTTGTAGAACTTTCTACAGTGTTTTTTTTTTTTGGCAGTACTGGGGATTGAACTCAGAACCTTGCACTTGTAGGCAGGCACTCTACCACTTGAGCCACATCCCCAGTCCTTTGTGTTTTAGTTTGTTTTTCATATAGGGTCTCCCACTTTTGCCAGGGCCAGCTTCAGACCACAGTCCTACCTATGGCCACCCACATAGCTGGAATTACAGGTATGCTCCACCACGCCCAACTTAGTATTTCTATATAAGAAAAATGCAAACGTTTGAATTGAATAGACACCTGTGTGAACAAAATGGAGGGAGATCCTGCAGATGGGGAGGAAAGTGTCAGAGAGTGGTGCCTTTGTCATGGAAGGAAGTAGAAGAATCAGTAGGGGAAGAGCTGGGGCCTCGGGGAAGACAACCAAGACACAGCAGGCTGTTCTCAAGGACAGAGAGCCTTTCAGCAAATGTGCCAAGAAATGTTCTACCTCACCTCTGGTTAAAAAAAATGAGAGAAGTGAATAGAAAAACCTGTCCTCGGAGACTGGTAGCAGACAGGGCTGGACCTTATGCCTAGTGTTGCCAAGGACATCATGGGACCAAGGACAGGACATTCCAGTTGGCCTTCCAGAGGGCAGGACAGACACACAGGTCAAAGGACAGGTATCCCTCCCCTTGACCCAGGGATGCACCCTCCCAACTCCCACCAAGAGTGTCCCAAGGGAATGGAGAGGTGGCCTCTTGTATGAGGCAGTCCTCCTAATGGGGGCAGTGGTGGTACCAGAGGTGAGAGCACTGGCTATGGTCAGCCTGCCTGATTCAAGTTCCACACCAACACCCTGCATGTGACCGGGTAGGGTTTTGGCCTCTCTGTGCCTCCTTGGTTTCCCTGATGTAGGAGGCATCTGATGCCAGCTTCACTGGGCTCCTGAGTGACTCAAATGAGCCAGGCTGAGCACATGACACAGGACGCCCTGCCCAGCTGTCCTAGCGGAACCTCTAATGAGGCCATTTGATCATTTTTGCTTCCATGATGGATAGGTGGGACAGCTGCTTCACATAGGATGGTGAAGGGGCCTCTGTATCCAGCATGGCCTAGCCTGGTGCACTGCAATGACACAGAGAGAGTAGGGAGTTCTCCTGGGCATGGTGGCATGCCTGTTTTTCCAGCTACTCAGAAGTAATAGGGGATCACAGTCTGAGCCAAAAACACGAGACCCTATTTGAAAACAACTAAAACAGAAAGGACTGGGGGGGTGCGTGTCTCACAGTACAGCGCTTGCCTTGCATAGCAAGGTCCTGGGTTCAATCCCCAGTACTGAAATACCAACCAAAAAAAGAAAAAAGAAATGTTATGTTTTTTTTTTAAATGACTCCCTATGTTACCTCCCACTGATGCAAATTCCTCATGGAATGCCTGAAATCTGACATGATTGCCATTCTGTTTTGTCTCATTTTAAGCAGAAAGCAAGGAGCAGCCATGACTCAGCTCCAGCCATGGAGGCAGAGAGGGCCGTCCCCCGGCTTCGGTGTCCGCCCCTCCAGTACTTCAAGAATCACTTTCTGGTTCCAGGGAGACCTGTGATCCTGGAAGGTGTGGCTGACCACTGGCCATGCATGAAGAAGTGGAGGTGGGTGGTCAGTGCAGGGCCGTGACATCTTCTTCTCATTGTAGTGTCCCCGAGACTCCCTGAATTCCCCCCACCACCCACAAATTACCACTATCCCCCCACAGGCAATTCACTGCAAGCACCTGGGACTCAACGCCAAAGGGCTAATCATGAATTGGTCCAGGTCCTGTCACAGTGGCTCGTGCCTGTAATCACAGCTGCTCAGGAGACAGCAATGAGAAGGATTATAATTCAAGGCCAGCCTGGGCAAAAAGTTAGTGAAACCCCATCTCAATCAGTAAACCAGGCATGGCGGCATACACCTGTCACCCCAGGTACATAGGAGAGTCTCTGTCCTGGCCAGCCCTGGGAAAACTCAAGATTCTACGTGGAAAATAATTAAAGCAAAAAGGGCTGGAGGTGTGGCTCAAGTGGTAGAACACCTGCCTAGCAAGCACCAGGCCCTGAATTCAAAACCCAGTGCCGCCAAAAGGAATAATCAAAAGTCAGGTGTTCTAAATTTGTGTCAAGATTGTCAGCTGTCTCGCTCAGTCTGCTCCCAAGTGGGTTTTTACTGAATGCCTCAGTGGTGGCCTTGGGACGGATTCTGTCAGGCATCTTTGCAGGATTTTAATAATTCCACTGGCCTTGGCCTTCTCAGGGCCCCGAGGCTAAGCACAGAAATAACCCAGGAGGCAGCCCCTCTCAGGAGTCACAGTGAAGAGGTCAGGTCGGGCAGCAGGAGGGGGCTGAGGGTCACAGCTGAAGAGGTGCAGAGGGCCCTTCCCTCTGTATCCATGGGTGTCATACCAAAACAAAACAAAAGTATAATTAGAGCTGCAGTGCTGTGTCAGTGGTGCTTATTTATGTGCCGACTGGCTTTCATGTCATTACTTCCTGGGCATGCCAGTGGGCAGCTACTTAGGTAGCATTTACACTGGATCAGGCGTCATAAGTAATCAGAAGATGGTTTACGGGATGTAAGAGGACTGTGGGGGCTAGATGGAAAAGTACGCCCTCTTTTTTCTTTTTCATTTGTGCCCCCCCCCCCCGGTACTGGGGTTTGAACTCAGGGCTTGCACTTGCTAGGCACGTGCTTTGCTGCTTGAGCTGTGCCCCCAGCCCTTCTACTGTGGTTATTTTGGAGATGGGATGTCACATGTCCCCCAGGCCAGCTTGGACCACAGTCTTCCTATTTTAAGCTTACCACTGTTGGCAGGATGACATATGTGTGCCACCATACTCAGCTTTTTTCTGTTGAAATGAGGTCTCACAAATGTTTTTACCTGAGCTTGTCTGGAAGTGTGATTCTCCCAGTCTCAGCCTCCCACATAGCTTGGGGTGACAGGTGTGCACCACCACACCCAGCTGTTGGTTGAGATGGGGTCTCATGAATTCCCTACCCAGGCTGGCTTTGAACCTTGATCCTCCAGTCTCAGCTTCCTAAGTAGCTAGGATTCCAGGCTGTGCCACCACACCCAGCGCCCTCGTTTATAAAGGACCTGAGCATCCTTGGGTTTGGGCACCTGCAGGGTTCCTGGGTCTAGCTTCCTAGGGACACTAGGGGATGACTGCAGCTGAGGGGAGATGGATCGAGAGGCCTCCTTGAGAGGAATTTTATGGAGCAAGTGGCCCCTGAGGCACAGGCGAAGGGGAATTCTTGCTGTAGGAGCATCTTGCAGAAAACGTTCAGAATGTGTTTTGCTTTAGCCACAATAGGCCCAGGCACATTCTTTTTTCTCTGGCTCTTACCGGATAGGTGCTGGCATCACCGCATCTTCCAAATGGGAGCAGGGACTCAGTGAGGTTGAGTGACTTGCTAAAGGCCCCTGGTCCTTACCTGAGGAGGCCTGGAGTCCATCTCAGGCTCTCAGAGTTGGGACCCTGGGCCACACCCCTGTACTGCCTGCCATTTGTTCCCAGGTTTCTTAGCTCAGTGGCAAGATGAGCAAAGAGAAACTTAGAAGGATCTTGTCATAACGCAGCCCAGCAAACTGGATTGATTGGGTCTGTCTTCAGAACCACATAGTGCAGTAGTCGTGGCCTCCGCAGGTAACCTTACCTCTCCCAGTAAGGTAAGGGGTAATTATCGCCTACTCAGGAGGCTCTGTGAGGACTGGAGGAAGCCACAGGCAGCCAGTGCCAGGCCCAGCACATATCGGTGCTGGTGACAAGGATGACAGTGTGTGTGTTTCCCACAGCTTGGAGTATATCCGGGAGATTGCTGGCTACCGGACTGTCCCTGTGGAAGTTGGTTCCAGGTACACAGATGAAGACTGGTCCCAGACCCTCATGACCGTCAGAGACTTCATCAGCAAGTACATTGAGAGTGAGGTGTGTACGCCCTGTGGGTGCCTCTCCCCTCTTCCTTCCAGGGCAGGTGAGCGCAGGTGCTGTGGTGGGCGGGTCCACAGGACTCCGTCCTTGCACATCTGCCCTCAGTAGGCTGCAGAGCAGGGGGGCGGGTTGGCTGGCAGCTGGCGAGACCTGAGGGATCTGTTCAGCGCACAACCCCTGCTCCCCTCTCTTTAGTATATTCGTAAGATTGTGATTCATCATAGGCATCTAATTCCAGAACATTTCATCACCCCAAAAGATGCCCAAGCTCTTAGTAATCATTTCCCGTTCTTCCTCCCCCTACCCCCACACCCCCACCCCAGGCGACCATTAATGACTTCCTGTCCCTAAAGACTCCTCAGTTATGCACAGACCATGTGAATGGAACCACACAGCATGTGGCCACACAACACGTGGTTATTTTCCAAGTAGGGTCCTGTGCTTACACCTGGGCCAACCTGAACCACAATCCTGTTTCTGCTTCCGGCACAGCTGGGATGACAGGTGCAGTGCACCACCGTACCTGGCTTTTCATTTTTGAGATGAGGCAAACATTTTTCCCAGCTGGCCTATGAACTGCGATCCTTCTAACCTCCACCTCACGAGTAGCTGGGATTACAGGCATGAGCCACTGTGCCCAGCTGGGCTTCCCATCTTCTCACTGAACTCCTGCGTGGTCATGGAGCCCTCTCAGTACTTAAGCCCCCCTCCTCACTCCAGGTCACCAGCTCCTCCCCAGGTCCTCCAAAGTTCTTGGGGCTGTGGCCTTGGTCAGTGCTCACAGCCAGCTTTCCAGTCCTGCCCTGTACTGCTGCTCAGCCAGCTCATGTGCTGTCCTGCAGGCCTGGAGAGGGGACCCAGGACCAGAGGAGTCCTGGCATGCTGCAGATGCCTGTGCTTCCAGAAACCCAGCCCAGAGGAAACCTGGCCAAAGCCGGGAGCACAGACAGCCTGGGGGAACCAGGCAGCGCAGGACCCCATGCTTGCTGTGTGGCACTGGCTGGTTCCTACTCTCTCCATCCTCAGTGACCTGACAGGGAGTTCAGGCCTAGGTGGGGTTGGCTGGACGTTGTGGACTTGTGTGACAACAACGCGTGGTGCCTAGCACCCGGGGATGCCGTCTGGATCAGAACTGATTGCAGTGGATGTCACTGGTGCTGTACGGGGTCTGACATGTTGTGAATCTCAGTAACATTTGTTGGAGAGAACAGGGTGCAGGGGAGGGTGGGAAGGCAGGGAACCCCGGGTTCCTGAAACAGGGGAAGCTGTCAGACAAGGCCCTCCCTGCCCTGCTGCAGCCGGATGGCAGGCCCAGAGTTCCCTCTTCTCACACCATCTGACCCTTGCAGAAGCCCTCAGAGCACTGAAGCCATCTGCTCAGCAGGGATTGTCACAAAATGATAGTTCCAGTACAGGCAAAGATGAGAACAGTAAGGTGCTCGCTGATTGCTGATAGAGCTTAAGCCATGTAGCTTCTGAGAAAATAACCTGGCAGAAATGGTTACAATTGAAGACACAGGCACTTGACCCTGTGGTTCTGCTTTGGAAGCCTACGCCTTGTAAGGATCGGACGTTAGGCTGTTAGTAGAAGCAATGCAGTAAAACACCCTCAGCCTGCGGAAGTAGTTAATGAATTCAGTGATGAGTTGAGTGATGAATGAGTCACGTAACATACGTGTTGACCTGCACAGGGATTCATGGTGTGTCATTCAAAGGAAAGAGCTCATTTCAGCTGGGGGTGCAGCTCAGTGGGAGAGCATGCGCTCAGCATGCCGAAAGTCCTGGGCTGGTGGGGAGGGGAAGGGTTCATAGTGTGAACCCTTTTTAAAAAAGACAGTTTCCAGGGGCTGGGAAAAGACAGAGTTCCAGGTTATGGGGAGAAATGCTGTGTGGGTGGATGTGGTGATGAGCACCCAGCATCAGCATGCTTAGTGACACTGACTTTGGAAAGGATTCAGGAGGTACATTGTACAACCAGGTGCTGGTGTACTCAGGAGACATTGGTCAGGAGGATAGCAGTTCGAAGCCGGCCCAGGCAAAATAGTTCGTGAGACCCTATCTGGAAAAAATCCTTCACTAAAAGGACTGGTGGAGTGGCTTAAGGTGGTGTAGGCCCTGAGTTTAAACCCCAGTACCACAAAAAAAAAGTACATTTTATGCCATATATATTTTACCATAATTGTTTAAAATAATGTTTTAAAATGAAAAAAAGACAAAGCCCTCATACCAGGTACAGGGCCTACAGTTTTCATTTGAGGGAGTAGCTGGACTGGGGTGGGAGGTGGCTCACATGGGCCCCTTGTGGCAAAGGTGGCCCCAGGTCCTGAGTCTCCTGCCCTTCAGCCCTGTCCTGCCCGGGAGGGCACTGACCAAATCAGCCCTGGGGTCGGAGAAGGGGACTAAGTAGGACACTAACAGCCATCCTGAAGTAGCAGTGAGGCTGCGACTAGGGTACAGTGTGTAGCTAGGTGGCAGTAGCATCGGGAGTTACCTGTCACATCTGACCAGCTGTCACCCCTGGTTTTCTCCCATGTGTCAGGCAAAGGACATCGGCTACCTTGCTCAACACCAGCTCTTTGATCAGGTGAGTAGCCTGGGACCGTGCCCTTGCCCTTCGCCCTCCACCCCCGCCTTCAAGGAATGGGCACACTCATGGCCTTCTTCTGGTGCTGTCCCTCTTCGCTATGGACAGCAGGAGGTCAGCAGGCCTCCAGGCCTGAGGGGCTCGGTGTGCTAAGTCCCGGACCCCGAGATGACACGCTGAAAATCTGAGGCAGAGCTGGGCTGATGGGGGCATCAGTGACCGCCACATGCCAAGGCTCAGGTAGAGCACCAGTGGCCACCTGGAGGTTATTTAGAAGAGTGGGGACAGGAGAGGCAGGTTGCGCCAGGTTGTGGAACCTTGAACTTATCCACAAGGTGGCTGGGAGCCATAGGAGGCTCTGGAGTAGGAGGGCTCCTGGGAGAATCCTACAGAGCCAGATGAGGTGTGGGGATGGGTGCTGGTTCAGCAGGACAGAGAGACACAGTCTTGTAGGGCGCTGCTCGGGTTCCTCTTCTGAAGCAGCCCTGACAGCAGATCATGCAGACATCCTAGGCCTGTCCCTCCTGCTATAGCCTGCCAACCAGCCCTGGCGGCCCAGGAGATTATGCAGGAGAGAACCAGGCATGGCTTTAGCACAGCCCTGCACCTATAGCAATAACCACCCAGTGAACACAGAGCCCTCGTGGCTTCTCACCATCTGAAAGTCCCACTTCTTAGTGCCCTTCTAATGAGTTAAATTTCAGCAGGAATTTAAATCTAGCCATAATTACAGAGCAGCCTCACTGAAAGGACAGGAAGAAATGTCACACAGGATTCACCATTGTGGGTAGGTTTTTCTTTCTCGCTCCTGTACATTTCAAGTCATCCGTGTGCACATGTGACCACAGTTAGGAGAAAAATAGGCCTTTTTTCTCCATGCCAACCAGAGAACCAAGCAAAGTGGCCAGAAAGCGGACTGGCCTCCCTCCCATTTCTTCTCTGTGCCTCAGCCGAGGTGCACACTCAGGTGGGGACTCGCCCCTCCCTGTGCGGCACACTGTGCCAGGCAGTGAGGAGCCGGGACAGAGAAGATAGCCGCACTTCCCTGCCCCAGCACAGCACATCAGATGGCCATAAGCCCCAAAGAAGATAAAAGGGGAGCCTTCCAGAAGGGGGCTTGGCGGGGGCAGGGTTCTGTACCGTGTGGTCGGGAAAGGTCTCTGGAGGCCGAGTGGTGGCCACTGGGGCTGTGTTTCTGAGGACTTGCAGCACTGTCTGGAGATGTGTTGATGGCTACTGACAGTCTGGCTTCTGCAGTGGCCAGAGGAGAATGGGTGGGTCAGTAGTCTAGGGTACATGGAAACCGCACACCTGGACATGGTAGACGTGTGGCGTGAGGGAAACAGAGCAGGCAAGGGACAGTCCTCAGCTTGGGACCAAACCCTTGTTGAATGAAGCTGGAGCAACTTTGCTGGGGTAGCCTGGGCCAGGCCTGAGGTGCACCCCCAACCCTGGGGTGGGGCACAGGAGGGCCCAGGGAAGCAACCCTTGGCAGAATTCAAAGGCAGGCCAGATACGTGCCCTGAACAGGAAGATGTGAGTCAGTCAGGGTTGGGACCACAGCCATGGGAGCACTGGAGCCATGTCTCTTTGGGTTTGGGGACTGAGGCCTGGGATGTTGCTCAACTTTCCTGTCTACCATAGAGGTTGCCATTGCTCCCTGTCCTGACAAGGGCCCCAGGCCCAGTTGGGCTGTACCAGACTAGGGGCGTCCAGGCCTGGAGTTAGCAGGGGCGAGGAAAGGTGTGACTGTGGCCTCCTCGCTGTCCTCCCTGATCCTGCCCCGTCTACCTCTCCAGCTGAGTAAAAAGTAGGGAGAATCTAACTGATGGACCTCTGCTGCATGGGCCTGAGACCTGCCTCTCCCCTGACCTCAGGCCTCCTGGACTGAGCTTCTCCAGGGGCAGTCAGCTGTGCTGGGCCCACAAAGCCATTATGTGCCACACAAGGAGAAAAGGACCATATTCAGGAGCAGGAGGCAGAGTTCTCACATATTTTAAGGTGAACCGGGACTGAGGCTGTTTAAGCAGTTTCTGAGGGTCGTTTCAGTCTTCTCAGCTCTGCTGTGCCTCCCACCTGCTGTTCGGATGTTTGGGCAGCTGGAAGTCCTGGGCTGTCATGGCGCCTGGCAGCTCTCTGAAAATCAGGCTCCCACCAGAATCTCACACAAGAACCTCCTACTGACTCCTCCCAGGGACCCTGTGTCTTAGTTTTGACCTCCATTTTAGACCTGTCTTCAATATTATTCACATCTTGGGAGCATTTTTTCTCTTGGGGTCTCTGAGCTCTTGGTCAGTGATTCTGATTATGAAATTCCACCAATCACCTTTTAGAAACCCTGGTGATGTCATCAGGAACCAATCAGAATTCCCAGCATCCCACAAGGGCAAGTCTAGTGTTATCCCAGCCAGAAGCAGCTGTTGTATGTGACAGGTATTGGGATGCCTAGGGTTCTGAAAGGCTTTTTCGATTCTGGCACAGAGCCTGTGGACCCCCTGCCGCACTGGGGACCTCAGGCTGCAATCGTGGACATTGGCACATAGCAGCATCTGCATTTCTGCACTGGCCTATGGACCAGGGGCCCAGGCTTCCTGTGGGGATAACGTTCCAGTGTTCCCGGGTGGGCAGGGGTTTTCTGGCCGGCAGCCTGAGGTAACCGTAAGGGCTGGTGAGACGTCGTGGCAGTGTTAGATGGACTCTGAAAGGATCTGAGGCATCTGGTGCCTGTTTCCATTCCTCTCAAGCTTGAGAAATCCCACCTGGACAGTCCGGGGCTCAAAGCGTCTGGACTTCCAGCGCTGGCACTGGGCCCATCCCTTGGCCTCAGCCCTGAAGTCACACAGCCTGCTGAGGAGCTGCCCAGGAGGCAGCTTCTTCACTCTGAGATCCTGTTTCTTTCCAAAGAGGCTGCCACAGCCCTGGCCACCCTACACCTCTACGGTGGCTGACACACTCCGTCGGGGTTCAGGAAGCGGGGCTCCCCTTACCAAGTCATGAAGTCTCAGGTGTGGCTCTTATGAGGCGGTTTCAGTGCCCAGCCTTGTCCCACCAGCTGGGGACACAGTCTGTCACCCTAGACTCTGAGAAGTAGCGAGCCACGAGTCCATGTAACAGGTGCCCTCCCTCCCACAAGCCATCAGACTGCCTGTTGCCCAAAAAGGGTGTGAGTGAGGGGACAGCATGGCGGTTTCCCAGCTCTGGCTTGTACCTATTTATCACCCCAACAACTCAGGGTGTCGGGGCTGATGACGCAGCGCCTCTGTCTGGGAGTCTCACACTATGGCCCCTCAAGGACCCACTCAGAGTTACGGGTCACAGAGGAGGACGGCATGAGGTCCATCCAGCTGCTCTTCAAGCCCTGTGCTCAGGCTCAGTGCCCAGTGGCCCTGCGGCCCTGTCCTGCCCTCGACAGCTACCCACTGCCTGCAGAAGGAGCCTTTGACCCAGTCCACACGTGAGGTTGGGCGGAGGGGCTGTGAACCCCTAAAACAGAACTCATAATCAAATGTTAAGCGTACTCTGCTAGAAAGAGGGCTTTGGTCATATCAGGGCTCAGATGCTCAGTGACCACGGAGTATTTTTTAGCAGTACTGGAGCTTGAACTCAGGGTCTCACGCTTACTAGGTGGCTAGCCACTCTAACATTTGAGCCACTCCACCAGCCCTTTTTTGTGATGTTTTTTTCTGAGAGGATCTTGTGAACGATTTGCCCAGGCTGCCTTCAAACCACGATCCTCCTGCTCTCTGCCTCCTGAGTAGCTAGGATTACAGGTGTGAGCCACCAATCCCTAGCCTAAAATCAGGTTTTTAAAATTGAGATAAATAAATCCAGATGATATGAAACAAGATTACAACTCTTAAGCTAGTAATTTTATATTTAAGTTGATTTTTAAATTCTTATCCATTAAAATATGGATCTAAGCCTCTTAAGAGGCTGAGACATGAACATCAGGAGTCCGAGGCCAGGCTGGGCTACACAACAAGGTCTGTCTCAAAAAACAAAAGCCCCAGACTGTCAAGGCAGTCTGACTCTCAGTGAGTCCCTAGCTGGCCTCAGCTCTCCATGTTGCTCTGACACCCACAGATCCCTGAGTTGAAGCAGGACATCAGCATCCCGGATTACTGTTGCCTGGGCAACGGGGAGGAGGACGAGATCACCATCAATGCCTGGTTTGGTCCCCAGGGAACTGTCTCCCCTCTGCATCAGGACCCCCAGCAGAACTTCCTAACCCAGGTGGGAGCTGCCATCAGAACCCCGGCTTCTCCCTCCTGGCCCAGACACCCAGCCTTTCTGTTAGAAAGAGAAACAGGAAGCCAGGCCTAGTGCACAAGACTGTAATCCTTTAGCACTCCAGAGGCTGAGGCAGGAAGATCTCTGGATTATGTAGTGAGACTCCCATCTGAGGGGTGGGGGACAGGGAACAAAAGCCACTGAAAGGGATGGGCCAAATGAGAGCAAAACATTACCAGACCCTGGGGCAGGACCTATCCCCAGTCAGGTGTGCTTGCAGATTCGGCTCCTGCACCACCCTCCTCCCACACCCCATGGCAGGGTGCCCTCTGGAGCAGCCCACTGCCCTCTGCCTTGCCCGGCCCTTCCGTCCCCTGCTGTAGCTTCCAAAAGAGGATGGGTGGGGGTCCCTCAGCCTATGGGTGGGTTTTTCTGGAGGCCCAGGCAAAGGCACATGCACTCACTGCTGTGAGAAGGCTGCCTATTCTTCACAGGTGAGGGAGATTTGATGAGAACATTCTAGTAGCCCAGTGGACCGGCCCCAAGAGGCACCTGAGAAAGGCTGAGAGCTGGGACTTGAGCCAGATGGACAGATGGCCTGGCGTTACCACCAGCTCTGTCACTACTGAATTTTCCAACTTGGGCACTTTGCTTAACCTCTCTGTGCCTCAGCTTTCTTACCTGAAGGACTGGGTGAAGACAAGCAGAGGGTGCTGTAAGGGTTAAGCAGGGTGGGACCCTAGTGCCTGTCACTAGCTCTGCTGTGAGCTTACTGGTTGGAGATAGTCAAAGCAAAGCTAACACTGGAGTCTAAGTGTGTGTGGCAGGGTGGGCAGCCCAGGTGCAGGGAACAGGGTGTGGAAAGGAGCAGAGGATGGGACTGAGGGATCTGCAGTGAGTGTGGGGCAGCAGTGGGCAGTGAGGCCACCAGGCAGCTGACAGCATGTCCCCCGCAGGTGATGGGGAGGAAGTACATCCGGCTGTATTCCCCACTGGAGTCAGAGGCATTGTACCCATATGAAACACACCTTCTTCATAACACAAGCCAGGTGAGCACTCAGAGACCCAGATGACCTGCTGCTCCTAGAGACCAGCACATGACTTCTTGTCCTTTGTGCAGGTCGACGTGGAGAACCCCGATCTGGAGAGGTTCCCCAGGTTTGCTGAGGCCCCCTTCCTGTCTTGCATCCTGTCTGCTGGAGACCTCCTCTTCATTCCAGTGGGATACTGGCACTATGTGCGTGCTCTGGATTTGAGCTTCTCAGTCAGCTTCTGGTGGTCGTAGGCTAGGACAAGCGTGGGAAGGGTCTGAGGGACAAACTGAGTCCTCTGGCTCACGGCCCCACACGGCACCGGGTTGGAGTCCCAGTACAAGCAGGACTGAACCTATGTCCTGAGGAAGCCTTACCAGCCCCAGAATTGGGGTCACAGAGTGGACAGTGCGCAGAGGATCACACAGGCCAGGAGGGCCCAGACACAGGCAGACAGCTGAAGGCCTGGCACAGTCAGGAACAGGGCTGGAGCTGCGGTGTGATTTGGGCCAGGGTCCCTCCATCCACTGTCCCCATGTCTCATCTGGAAAATGGGGCAGGGCTGGTCCCCACCAGAGGGTCCAGGTGGCATGTGTGGCCACAGAGCTGCTGTGTGTATTGCTAGGTCACTGGTAGGACTGAATTTTTTATTTGCTGTAATTTTTTTTCTGTATTTGTATTTTTCAATAATGTAAGTAAACAGAAAAAAACAGTGTAATTGTATTTTAAAATCATTTGCTCAGCCGGCTGCCCGTGGCAGGATGGCAGTGGAAGTGACAGTGGCATGGGGTGGACAAGGCTGAATGCTTACCCAGATGCTGGGGACACAAGACCTCTGGGGAGATTCCTGCATGCACAGAGTCAAAGTGCTAGGCAGGGGTGCCACAAGAGGGGAGCCATGGGAGACAGTCACACACAGAACGTGGGGGAAGCTGCAGAAGTGGACACAGAGGCCAAAGGGAGATCTGGAATTTGCACAGGGGTCACCAAGGCGGGCAGGCCTGGAGGCCAAGGACCTGCACAGTTTGCTGGGGCCGGGTAGGCGAGGGGAGCTGGTTGTGGGCAGGGAGAGGTGTACAGGCCACGAACTACAGGTGGACTGAGGCAATGGTGTGGGGTGTGGTGGGGGCAGGGAGGAATGGAGGGCAGGCAGCTCCAAGGACCAGTCACAAACCGGCACAGGACAGTTGCATGATTTACTTGAGCCACTGTTTACCCTCATCTGGCATCATTAATATTTATTTACACAATTTTTTCCTGTGGAGAAGTTACACAGAACATCAGTGCTGCTGGGGGTAGGGAGGCATAAAGCGGGAATGTCACTGTACCCAGCATTCTTGCCAACACAAGCAGTGGCCAGCTTCAGTGCATCCCTGGGGCCTGCCCCAGCTGAAAGACATCTCTGTGACTCCCACCCCCACAAGTGACCCAGTCTGTGCAGCGCTGTCTGTTCTGCTGGCAGGTCCACCGCCACCCCAGCTGCTGCTGAGGAAAAGCAGCTGGTCTGTTTTTTGTAATTTTGGGGGGTTTTGTTATATATTCATATATATATTTTAAGAGAGTCTCACTATGCACCCCAGGTTTGTGACAGACTTGTGGTTGTCCTGCTTTAACCCCCTGAGTGCTGGGATTATAGGTGTATGCCACCTTACCTGGCTCCAAACAACCAGTCTGGCATGGAGTGTGGTTCTGACAGTACCAGAACAGCAGGTTCACTAGCATGAAGTGTGGAGACTGGTGGCTTCAAGCACATAGCCCTTGTCAGATGGAGAGTGTCAATGAGTTCCCCGCTTGTGGGCAGGTTCAAGTTGCTGGAAATCAGCTGGAGTGCTGTCTTCAGCTCACTGAGGACTGGGGACTCCAAGTCAGTTGGGCACCAAACTGCTGAGCAGCCAGCCAGGAGACGTGTGAGTGCCAGGCTCCACCTGTCTGTCCCTGTCCTCGGTGTGCAGAGGGCCTGCTCCATGCCACAGTCCTGTGCTGGACTTTGAACTGGCACTGAGCCAGGTGGGATCTTGTCCCAGTGGAAAATACTACCATAGGAGTGGGGCCGGTGAGATGAAGTAAAATAAGGTCAGCGTAAGTGATGCAAAGACCAGAACTGTGATAGGAGAGGAAATGGCAACAGGGACAGGTTGGTGGGGACATGAGTGTGTGGTGATTGATGATGGATGGATAGGGGTCTGAATACATAAGAAGCAAGGGACAGGAGCGTGAAGGACCAGCTCCCTACCAGAGGCCATCAGCCCTGAGGCAGGAAGCCTAGCCTGGAGGAAGCAAGGAAGAGGCCAGGGCAGTGGAGGTGTGGGGGACAGACCAAGACTGACTGGTCTAACAGTACAGAGAAAAAGGCTCAGAGAAGGGAAGGCTGGGAACCAGAACATGTGGAGTCCCCGATCCCGTAATTCCCAGAGGGACAACCAGGACCACTAGTGGGTCCAGAGGGTAGTGGACAAGAAGGCAGCAGGGGCAGCCAGCCAGTCTGAGTCACAGACTAGGAGCTGGGGCTTTGTGAGGATCGTGACTAGGGTACAGTTGTCTGCTAGATGGTCGTGTTGGTTGCTGTCATGAAGGCCTGGAAGCAGGGGGACAATCAGCAGGAGGGCCAGGTGCTTAGGGGCCTCCTTGTCACCCACAAGCTCACCTCAGCTATGGGAACAAGCCTCATCTTGACCACTAAGCCAGCTGCCAGATGAGCGGCCAGTGGCTGCCCCAAGGTGTCCTGGGTACAGCTTCTCGGCACATGTTCTCTCCAGGTACACTTTGGAAAATGACCTGTCCATGCAGACTTGTGGGCCATACACTGGGACCACTCCCAGAACTGCACCTTCAGGGCATGCTGGGAGTTCAACAGAGGGCCAGTGCTGCCTTACTGCACCACAGGCCTCTATGACTGGGGACCTACTCTCCTACCTAAGTCCCATTTTCTCTAGACTGGTTCTGCCTGTCTTCTCTGCAAATTCGACCTTCCCAGAAATCTCTAGGGTCAAGCTGGCTGGGGAGGGTCATCATTGCTGGCCTGACATATCTCATGAAGGCCCACTGGAAGCTCCTACCTCCAAGTCAGGCTGCCCTGCCTATCAGGAGGGCAGGAGCTGGGACTCAGGTCTGAGCCCCAGCCGGCCTGCCCTGCACTGGGTTCTAGGAAGGAAGGGAGAACAGTTCCCTTCTGGCCACAGGGGAGGCCACCCTGCCCAGTCAGCACTGGATTCACTCCCCCCCATCCACTCACAACTTGGCAATCCTTCCCTTTCCAATGCCACCTGCATTGTCCCATCCCCAACTGTGCAGGCCTCTCCACAGTGCAGAGTCACAAGATGCGTGCTGAGGGTGGAGTCCCCGAATGACACCCACCCTCTTCTTCCTGATAGTAGGCACAAGCATGGAAAGCTTGGAAGTCTGAAATCCATCTTGTTACCAAGAATAATGTGACTAGGTTTCCTGGGAAACCACCCGCAGGCCCTCAGCCTGAGACTGGGTCAAGGAGAAACATGAGTGCCTGGCGACGTCACTGGAACCACTCACTAGCCAAGCCTCTCAAAGGACCTGTGTGGCCAAGTCCTTTCTTGTTTGAGCTGTTTGAGTTGGCTTTTTGTCACAACTAACAGGTCCTGCCTGCCATGTCGGGGGAGAAGAGGCAGGCAGGGAACCACAGTGTGGCAGATATGGTGACTTAAGGCAGTGCAAGGAAGGCAGCAGTGTCCAGGCAGAGGGAACACTGAGCAAAGGCTCCACTCCGTGAGAAAAACACCGTACCCTGAGCAGTGGGGAGGGGAGGGAAGAGATGCAGAGACCAATAGGGTGACAGCCCTCAGCTGGGTCGTGTGAGTGAGGCCCAACCCAGGGCAGGGGAGTCAGAGGGAATTCGGCACTGGGCCAGGAGCAGCTGCTCCAGCTAGGGGTGAGGGATGTGATCTGCTAGGGCAGCAGCTGTGGGGTCAAATGGCAGGTGGGCCGGGCACTGACTCACACCTGTAATCCTAGCTAGTTGGGAGGCTGAGATCAAGAAGGTCACATTTCAAGGCCAGCCGGGCAAACAGTTCACAAAAACTTCTCCAAAATAACCAGAGTAAAATCAGCTGGAAGTGTGGCTCAAGCGCTAGAGTGCATGCTTTGCAAGGTTGAAGCCCTGAGTTCAAACCCCAGCCCCACAAAAAAAAAAAAAAAAAAAAGAGAAAAGAAAGGCAGATGGTCTGGATCGGATTTGGGGACAACTGGTATTGGGGACAACCTGATAGGGAGAGGAGATGGGGGGGGCGCATCTGGGCTGCCTTTCGGGCTCCCAGGTGGAGCAGCTGGTGGGCAGTGCTTCCAGACACCAAGAGAGGACAAAAGGACCCCAGGGAAGAGCATCAGTCCAGCCCAGTCCATAGGCCTCATGCACCTGGAGCTGGAGCTGGAGGCACCAAGACCAAGGCTCACAACTCCAGGCTAGAGGCTGGTCAAGTCCCAATGGGGTGATAGGCCAAAACTGGGCAGTGAAGGCAAAGCCAACTGAGTGAGGACAGAGAGCTGCCCATGTTGTGCAGGAGAGGCTCTGCTCACTTCACCTGCTGGAACCTAAGCCAGGGGCCTGAGTTACCATTTCAGTACAGGAAAGAGCCAGGCCTCCCAGAGGCACAAACCTCAGCCGGAAGTACAGCAGCCTCTTCTTGATTTATTCCAAATGTGCCAACAGCAAAGATGAAGAACAAATGTGGAGGGTCATGTGTAATATGAAAGGCCACTGCCCCTCATCCAAATGGCTTCAGGGATCGGGCCACAAAAGCAGGGAGCCTCCAAAAGGCCCACTGCCTAGTGCTGCCTGGCCCTCAACGACCTTCTGTTAGATCTAGAACCACCAGCCTCTCTGTCCTTCTCAGGGTCGAAGACTTCTGTAGACAGAAAGGCACAGTGATCGAGTGGCAGGCAGGGCTAGCCAACAGGACACCCACTCGTGTCTACACTACACGTCCATGTCCACTGCTGAGACATTCTTCACTGCTGAGCCTCCTCCCCGCTGTGCACAGGCAGTGTCAGCCCTAGTTCATGGAGGAACCACCAAGGGAGCAGTGGACATGGCCTTCACACCCCTCCTCAGACGGCTGCAGAGAGCCTGGTCCAGAGGTGCTTGTAAGCCCTAGATTTCTATGGGCATCTACAGCCTTTAGAATTGGGCATGCTGGCCAGCCTCTGCCTGCTGTCTCAGCTGGCTACTTGTGCAGAGCGGCACACAAATGACGTTAAGTCAGTGCCAGGCTGCAGTTCTGCAGGCCGACGGTCAGTCCTGTGGCTCTGCCATCCTGTGAGCACCATGGGGACCACAAACCTGGTATCTCGTGGGGCCAGTAGTCATTACAGTGGGGACAGCGCGGTTCCGGGTTTGACTGGAAGTACTTGGCCACACAAGGTAAGTGCATCCTGATGCCACAGGTCTCACAGCTTTGACCCTGAAAGAGGAAAGGCAGAAGACCATGGAGTTTTACACACACCTCCCTCTGACTTTCATAACTCTTCAGGGAAGTTGCAAAAAAAAAAAAAAGGGCAGCCAACTAACACAGTAAGGCTTCGAGGCCCCCAGTGAGTCCTGGTAATAATCTCAAAGTCCACCACAGTGGTGGGGAGCTGAAGACTCAGCCCGCAGCCTACACGCTCAGGCCTCTGCGTGCAGATTATGGTTGGTGGGGTGGGGGAGAGCAGGCAGCCACAGTTCTGCAGAAGGCGAACTGGCAGAATGGACCACCATGCTGAAAATACGGGCACTCTTTGAACTACAGACTTGCAGAAATCATCCCCAGGACAAAGACAAAATTTAACAAAGATAAAAAGGAGGACAATGTCCACGCAAGCACACCATGTAAAACAGACTCAGGAAAACAATGGTGGACAAAAGTGCCAAGACAGCACAGGTTATCAAGCCCTGTGTGAGCCTGTGTGGAGATCCTCAGGCTGGGAACAAGCCCTGGGAGGAGGGGTCAGGACGGCTGCCATGGAAGCCCTCCAGCAGGGACACCCAAGAAGAGGGCCCAGGCATAGGAGGACATGGAAACCCACAGCACCTGGACAAGGAGGCCATGGCAGATGCTGCAGGTCTTCACGGCGTCAGGGTGCACCTCACGGATGTGCTGCTCCATCTCCAGGATGGCGCGGCCATGCAGGGTGAACTCGCCTTCCTTCTGCAGGGACAGAACCCAGTACCATCCACTCAGTGCCATGCTTCTTTCTAGTCCCAAGCCCTGCACCCAGAAAGACACAAGGTCTGGATGCAGGCCACCAGCCTCAGGCAAACAGTGTCAGCGATATCCCCTTGGCAGGGCCTCAAACAAGAGAGACTGAGGCCAAAACCTAGAAGACAATGGAGGTGAGGATCCCCTGCTCCCAGACTCCTCAGCACCTCCCTGTACCTTCAGATGGGATAGCTCTGTCTGCATGCAGCCCTGTGTGCAATCGGGCCACAACCCCCAGCATGACAGGACACAAAGCCAGGCAAGGGAGGCAGCCCCGAGACTACCCTAGCAATGTGTCAACTGTGCCCACACTTCCCCTTCAGAAAGCAGGACTGCCACCCAGAGCCTTGCAGGGATGATCCAGTTATTCAACAGATGGAACTGGAAAGAGTCCTGAGACAGTCCCCAAATCCCAGCATGGGGTCAAGAGCCTCTAAAGGAAGCAGGCCTCATGTCTCCCATGTCTGGCCACAGTCCACACACCATGGCCCAAAAGCCCTGGGAAGCCAAGAAGCAGAACCAGTGTGGTTGCATGGCCAGCCTGCTGCCTGTCCCAGAAAAAGGCAGGCATCACAGTGCCTCGCAGGCTATGATTTCTCACTATAGGCAGCTACTGAGCTGGGCTGGGAACCAGCTAGCCAGCTTTGCCACTATCTTATCCCTTCCTGGTGTGGCTATTAGGGAAGTGCCAGCATAAGGGACAGCCTGGGACTCAGGGTCAAGGCAAAGGCACACTGAAGTATGTGGGGTCAGGAGGAGCAAGCCAGTGGCTCAGGCCTTGTCAGGAGAGGGCACAGAGGAAGCCTGCAGAGCTAGCCCGGATTCTTCCTTCCTTTTGTGACTTTTACAACAAGCTGTGCTGCGCCTCCTGCTGTGCAGACATTTGCTTGTTTGTTTTCTAAATAATAAATAAACCCAGGGCCTCTAGCATGCTAGGCAGGCAATCTACCATGTGAGCCAGGCCCCCAGCCCTCCGATTCCCACTGTGGACAGTTACATGCACTCTCCTACCCCACCTACCATGGAGCAGGGGAGGCTGCTATGAAGTTGGGGTCAGATCCAAGATGGAAACCAGTCCCACTTATCAAACGGCTGGGTGACCCCGGGAGGTGGGCGTCTGGATGGCTGACTGCAAGGAAGGGTAGGCAGCTGGAGGGAGCTTCAGAAGAGGAGGGAGGCCCTACAGGGCCACACTGTGCAGCGGCCATTGCTGATAAACAGGAGTGCTGTCCTCTCAGGCGTTGTGGGAACATGTGACAATTCCCAGACTAATCTCAATTCTGTGGTTTTCACCTCTTAAAAAGCTCCCACCTTCCTTTAGTCTGCTGTGGCCACTGCACGAGCACCACCATCTCTACACAGCCAGCCCCACTGCTCTCAGCCTCACCCTCCAGGCTGCTCACCAGGCTAAAGAGGTCAAGTCCCTAACACAGCATGCTCATCTAGGTTCACATTACCTTACCCAAGTGCCACAGGCTCCTTGAGTACACCACGTCCCTCTGACCACAGGGCCTCTGCACAGGCTGACAAGCCACCCACCAGACTCCAGTGAATCTGGGCCTTCACTCCGTATGGCCTCTCCTGCCTTTCCTCCCAAGATTGGAACCCAAGTAACTGCCAGGGTGGGTCGCCAGGGTGAACCCATGCGCTTAGAAATGAGGACCTCAGAAGGGTCAAGCATCATCACGCAGACCTGTAATTCCAGCTACTTGGTAGGCGGGTGCAAGAAGGTCTTGAGTTCAAGGCCAGTCCAGGGAAAGTTAGCTCAAGACCCTATCTCAAAAAAACCAAAAGCAGAAAGGCTGGGAATGGTTTAAGTGGTAGGATCACTTGACAGCAAGCAGGAGGACCTGAGTTTAACAACCAGTACTACAAAAAAAAAAGAAAAGTAAAGGGTGGGGGAAGTAATAAGGACCTCAGAACAGAGAGCAGCCAGAGCCAAGCTAAGTTCGGGAGAGGAACGGAAGGACTGCTGAGCCGCAGCCTCTGCCCGTAGTCTGCACTCCACATCAGAATGCTCAGGAAGACTGCATGCACAGCCAATCGGGCTGACCTGTGCCAGGTCTGGGTTTCTTGGAAACAGTGCTGCCTTTCGTGGGACAGAGCTGAAACATCTGCTCTGTTCCCATCAGCAGGCCTAGTGGTGCAGTCTGGTCCTTTCTCACATCCTCAACTCCTCCTACATATGTCCATGCTTCCTATTTGGTCCTTAGGGGCCACTGTCTAAGTGAGAGAGCCAAGAGCACCAACCTGAGCAATGCAGCATTGACAGTAACACCCTGATAATAACAGCAAGCACTCAGCTGTCCTTGTTGCCTGGCACTAAGTACTTCACTGCACCATCTCATTTCTCTTCCTTCCACCTTCCCCCATGAGGTAGATTCCTCAGGCTGGGCAAAGTGTGGTGGCCTGGACCAGAGATCAGATCAAGGTCAGGGGCTGGTGCTGGGCTCACAACCACAGACCTGCCCTGCCTCAATCTGGACCAGAGGCTTGGGTAAACACTGGAGCCCAAAACTTTGGTGAGTTCCTGGCTCAGTCACTTCTGGCTGAGGCACTGGGACAAACCATGTGAGTACCAGGGGCCTAAATCATCCTCGGGGCCACTGATGGCATCACAATGGATAACCCTTAGGAAATGGGCTGGCTCAACAGACATTAGTTGGATATAAATATGGTTTCAGAGAGAAAAATTGCAATTCACTTCTAGGCTAGGAAGGCATGGGACAGAGTACCTCAATCAGCCATTTGTTCTGTACAAACTTCTGCAGCACCTGCTCGGCCTCCTTTTTCCGCATCTTCTTGCCTTTAAGTTGATCAACCAGGTTCAAGATGTTTGTGGAAGATGCGAAGCCAGTTTCTGAGTCAATGATCAGTTCCAACTGCAAGAGACAGAGGGTACCACATTCATCTATTAAATTGACAAGAACAGCTTTGAAGCCATCGGCCGGCTCTGGCCAGGGATGTGATCAAAGGACTCCTAGCACAGGCAGACCAGCACATGGTACTGCTCTTCTTCCAGCAGAGTTTCATATGATCAGAAGCCATGAGTGTATGCAGACCCAACCCAGAGTACCTGCCTTGCTCCACCCCGCCCCCTGAAGCAGAGATGAGGAATGGAGAGACACATGAGGCAACACCTCTCCACGCAGAGGTGACAGCAGGTAAGGCAGGGGAGCAGACAAAGGGCAGGCCAGCATGAGGAACCTCACAGGATCCGCAGAGGTAGACCCAGGGCCAGACAAGTTCCCCTAAGACTTCTATCCATTCAGGGTTGCAGTCAGCAGGAAGACAGGCTTCCGCGTGTGCACAGGTACGTGCCCACTGAGGCCTGCTTCTCCACCTTGGCTGCTGACAGCCCCAGCAGTGTCTTTAAAGTAATAGTTCTAGAGCTGGTTCCCAGAGATTCAGATTCATCCCAGCTGGAGGGAGCCAGAATGCCAGATTCTTTCTTCACCACTTCCCCTGTCTTACAAGGGGCTTCCAAGGCTGAGAAGCCTTGTGTGACAAGGGGGCTGAGCAAGTGCCCTGAAAAGCACGAGCCTGTGAAATGTGAATGCAAACAATTCAGTGGGCACCTCCTTAAAAGGCAGAGTCAGTTCAACAGCTGGGTGGAAAATGCTGCTGCCATCCAGGTGGCACCAGGTGGTACTGCCTACCCGCCAAGACCCTGGTGTTGTGCATCCTGTCATTGATCACACCTAGGCCTGCCTCCCTCCCAGGCAGCTGTGGTGCCCCTCTAACGCTGAGTTTTCTGTTGCTAATAATGGAGACGGACGTTCCCGTAAGCCCCACCCATGGGCATGGGAGTTGCTGTACTTACAGCCTTTCTAAACAAATCCAGCTCATTCTCTGCAAAATCCGTGGCCATTTTGGAAATTGGGGTTGTAGCAAGATTCACCTAAAAAGTAAGTCAGCACAGTGCTCACTGTGTCCTTCAGTGGACAGTTAATTTATTGTTGCTCCTCCCTCCTTCCATCCCCCAGAGCAGGAGTCAGACAGGGAACTCCACCACTGTACACAGAGGAGGCCACCTGTCCAGTACCGGCTGCTCTACTTCAACTCGCCACTAGAGGGGCACTGCCTTGCACTTACCAGTGCATAAATGGGTCTCCCATCATCTTCTGTCACGCCTTTCTTTATCTCGATGTATAAGGACCCCAAGACACTGTTAATAGTGTGGATGAAGTCCTCCAGCTTCTCTACAGTGGCACTGCCTAGACAGAAGTAAAAGCAAAGGGGTGGGAGCATTTCAGCAAAAACACACTGCCGCTCCCTGGCAGCTGCACACTGCCAGAAGAGCAAAGGGCCACTCTCCTCAGCGAATACCACACTGTGGAGGTATTCCCCAAAACCTATGGAGGATGGGGGACAGAAGGGATCCAGGAGATGGTTAGCAGAAACTACTGAGGCTTCTGTGGTCTTTCTGCCTGTCCCATTCCCTCCTCCATGGCTCCCTCCTCCAGTGTCCCCAAAGTCCCCACATCCTCACACACGTGGTGACTGTCATTATTCCTTTCCCCCTGCACTGACATCAGACACCCACTGTACACCTAAAGGCTGGGCCGTAGCTGGTCCTGGAGGTGCCACAGGAAAAGAGGCCTCCAGCAGAGCACAGCAAGCCCTCCTGACAGGAGAGGCCCTGTTCCTAGTGCCTCTCATGCAGCCACTGCTCAGTCCTCCCAATGACCCTCCCAGGCAGGCCTGGCACCCTTTAAGGACAGATGAAGAGGCCAGACTCACACCAGCAGCCCCAGGCAGAACCAGCAGTGAACTGAGGCCTGTCCCTTAGCCTGCCTCTCTCTGGCTGTGCCACCAGCAGCACATGTCTGGGCCCATGGGTCTGAGGAGGGACACCCAGACCCCAGGACTGCAGGAGGCCTGAATGATCAGTTAGTGAATGAGAAGGGAGGACAGGACAGGCTGCAGTGGGAAGCTGAACACAGCACCCTCCAGTAGGTGTTACTGTTTTCACTTACTAAAATAATTCCAAAAGATTTATGCTCAAAAAAATACTCTGGTAAAAACACAAAATGTGCTATCATTTACATTAAAAATCCTAACAGAACCAACCAAACAATACTGCAGGAGAAAACCTCTAGCTGATGATGAAGGACACCACTAGGAAGGGGAAGCTGAGGCATCGCTGCAGCAAGTGGAGCAGGAGTGACCCTGAGCAAGTGGCATCGTTGTCTGACTTTCTACAGAGAGAGGGCAATTCTAAGCTCCTGTACACAAAATATGAATCAAGTTCGAAAACTAGAAGGTCACGTTGGAGGCAATGGAGGACAAGGCCATGTAAAGGAACCATGACAACCCAGGCTCATAAGCTCTATCAAGGCTGGGGCTCATGACAAAGGCCACCAAGGCAATACTAATATGCACTTCAGAGCAGTGAGCTATAATCTTCTTTTGAGCACAGTTGTTTAAGCCTTCAAAAAAAACAAAAAAACAGAGTAATTTAAATGAAAATGATAGTAACAACTATTCACATTTTCCACTAGTGACACCCCCTCAGTGTCACTGAGGAAGATGTACTGTGGGCAGATCAGAGGCATTCTAACACACTGGGCTTTCCAAACACCCGTGTCTTCAGGCAGATGAGCCCACGGCCTCTCTCCAGCTCCCAGAGACAGGAATGTCAGGGGCCTTCCTTCTCTCAGCTCCAACTCTCTCCTTCCTTCCACAATAGCCTCCCCCAGGGCCCCACCCATGTCCTCTTTAAGTGGGGACCCTGTGAATGTTCGTCACAGGTGCCCTGGGCCACAGCATCTCTTTCTTCACCATTACCTGAAAATAAACTTCTCTTTTGTTCAGCAACCCCTCTCTCCCTCTTTGCTTTTTGGTGGCAATTGGGCCAGCCCCGTCATTCTCTCAGCTCTGAGGACCCTAGGAAGTCTCTCCCCTTTTCCTCTCTGAAGGTCACACGCCTTTTACCTCCAACCTAACATTTGTCTACAACACTCTTCTCTCTAGCCTCCATCTAAACCACTCTGGGTTCCTACTACCCAGCTCCGACCTCCTGGTGCTCTCCTAAGCCAGCCTGGCGGGGATTCCCACCTTGGCCCAACCACTTCCTTCCTTATCACAGCTGCCCAGTTACCACATCTGCCCACCTCATACAGAGTCACCTAGCAACAACATCCACCTACCTCAAAGCTATTCCCTGCCAACTAATAGCTTTTCTCTTCCTGCTTCCAAATGGTTTTTCCCCTACACATGTGGCTTTGGCGGGAGAATAATTCCAGGGACCCACACCTCAAGAAGCAGAAAGCAGGAAGCAGAGGAGGCCAGAGCTTAAGTCAGCCAGAAGTGGATCCAGAACCCCTGTCAACCAAGCAGACAAGCAATGGACCTGAGCAAGAGACCAAGGGCCAGTCCAGCCACTACAGAGCAGAGGGAAGGTCATGCTGGCCACAAGGCATGCTGTGCTTCCTGCCCACCCCTACCTGGCCCCAGATGCCAATCAGCCCCAGGGCCCTCTCCCAACAGCCTCCCAACATGCTCCTTCCTATGCCAGCCACAATCAGGCCTCTCATTTGCTACCAAGATCCCTAGCATGCCCACCCAGTTATCATGGTTACATCAGACAGCACTTCCCAGACTAAAGCCACAGCAAAGCCAATCTGCAAAATGCTGCCTCTTGGACATCTTCCATGAGGGACTTAGAGAGTTAATCACTGATGCTGCTCCTTTCTTCGGCATCCTGAATCAAAAAGAAAAGGCCAAGCTTCAGCAGTGTCAGAACAATTAACTTTAACAGGAAAAGCTGAATCAGAGGTGGCTTCTGTGGGAACCAGCAACCTATAGTCAGTGACACGAAGTACCCAGTTACAAGGAGAGGCCAGGCCCTGGCCCTCCTGCTACTGCTCCTTCCCAGGGAACAGGGACACCCTAACCAAGACACTGATGAGCAGCACTATGTCTGAACAGAGCCGGATGAACCTCCATAGCTTAGGTACCCCGTGTTCTCTTGACTTGTAAGCAGAGTGTCTGTGTTTCTTATGGGCTGTAGAAGTGTGGCTGTAATTCACCTTATTTTGGGTTGGGCAGTAAGTCACCAGCTGGGGGCACTTCATCATAATGACAACCACCTCCAAAAGGTAAGTCATTAATATCATCTTTATATACAAGAGGTGAAAGGAATTAAATAACTTGCTCAGAGTTTCCCTAACTTGGACATAGAGCCCAGGCCTGCCTGACTCCAGATCCCCAGCTCTGGGCACTAAGCCACATGGTCTCTGCAGAGAAACCTGAGGACATTTGGACACCAAATCCCACCACCCACATCCCGGTAATTACCTCCCACATCCAGGTAATGCTGACCCCGTGGCTTCAAAGTCACAAAGCACTAGTAGGGAAAGCATCTGGATGGCACCCGAGGAAGACACCAGAGGTGCTGCTGGTAGGGGAGGCGGCACTCACAAAAACATGCGCAAAGCTGGGTTACCAACACCCAATCCCCTGGGTTCAGCTCGGGGTCCCTCTGTGGTTGGCCCCACCGACGCAGATGGGGCTAAGGAAAGCAAAGACCCAGGAGAGGCTGACTGTGCTCCCTCTGCATCAGGAAGAGTCCTGCAGAGGGATGACCAGGACACAGGCCCTAGGCAAAACTCTTCTCCCTAAGGAAGGAGGGTGGTTCCAGCCCCTTAGAAAACACTGATTCTTCTGGCTGAGGATGTGTTTTCTCCTTTTCCTTTAAAATTAAATGCTATTTCATCTTTAATGGTGGACCTCTTCTTGCTAAATCAGGGTCATGATTTTCAGAGCTCTTGGAGCCCAAGGCTCACTGTACACTGTATACTTGAACAACAGGCAATCACTCAGGAAGTTTGATGCTTTAACCTCTGACCAATGAATAGTTGTGTCCTAAAGCAGGAACCAAAAATGGAAAGAGCTATTTTTATGCAGAGAAAATAAGAGCAAAAATAAGCCCCAGGGGCCCACACCACCACAGGCCAACTTGCCCATGACAAGCCCTCTCCTCTGACAGGCAGAGTGGCCCTGCTGAGTTCAGTATTGTGGAGGGAGCAAGCCAGGCCCTGCAACAAATCCAGGTGCTGGACAGACTGGCACCAAAAGAGCAGGTCCCTGGGCAGAGGCAAAGGATAAGCTGGTGGGCAGGCTCCTGGCCCAGAGAAATATGCAGCCCTCTCAGCTGCAGCTCTCATCAGTGACCTAGGGAAGATGACCTTGACTTTCAGATGTGTGGTACAAAGCCAAGAATCAACAATGGCACTTCCAGAGCAGAGCACGACTAGGGAACAGTGGTGCAAAGGGTAGGAGTAGAAGGAGAGATATCTTTTATATACACTAAACAGCTCTTGGGGTTGGTACATCAATTCACCACGTGCCACAGTACTGATCCTCATGTTCTCAGGGGACCTTCAGGAACTGCCACCCAGTCAAGTGGGGAAGGATCACTGTGTTTCTCCAAAGACACAGAGGAACAGAGGGGGACTTACCCAAGACCACAGTGCCAGAAAGCAACAAAGCTAGACCAGAAAAGAAGCCACTAGTTTAACGCAATGATGAAAAGTCTTGAGCATTTATTTTTTGAAAAGAAATATTCTGTAGATATGCAAAGATGTGTAGAATTACTTCAAAGTACCGCGGATAAAGAAGGCTGGCTATGCACTCATCAGCACTTGGACTTCACTGGACTGCTCTCTATGGTTGATTTTTCCATTGCTCAAGGTTTAAAACAATACCACTGATCAACAAGCACACAATCTGACTGAGCCACCATGAGTCAGAGTCAGGAAAGAGGACAGTGAGTGCAGGGACCCTGGTGGGCTCTCTTGGGCTAAGACAGGGAAGGGGATGGGCTTCACAACAGACGGTCTGTGCTGGGGATGTATTGTTCTGAGACCTGTTTCCCAGCATGCAAACACTACTGTCTGAAACACATGTTGGTAAGAAATCTAGTCCTTAGCTGCACACTGAGGGTATGGAGCTCTGACAGAAACAAAGTCAGCACTGCTGGGTGGGGACAGGCACACTTGCAGACCCTGTATGTACAGTCACCCCAGGGGGCATTCTTCCCACCAGAGGCCTGTGATCCAGCGCTGCTGACTTGCTTTCCTACTGACATGAGTTCGTGGTAGTATAGCCCTGCGTCACAACCTGAGTCATCACAGATGGGTTGGCCACTTTCAGCAGAATCTGACTGTGGCACTGCTAGTGCGCTTTGCTCTTTAATTGCCCTCTGGGAAGT